AGTGAGGCTACAGCTCCTGCACCGATCACATACATCTGCTGGACTTTCTCATGAATAAAGAGTGGAGGCTCAGATGTCAGCAGAGCACAGTGCTTCTCAATCTAAAAGCTGCCATCCTCAAAGCAACTGAACAAGGTTAGAGATAGTGACACTTGTTTTCTTTTTGAAGCACGTGCTTATCTTTTCAAATTCTCATATAACATGACCATGGAACAGAAAACCCATGCTATTCTAGCACTTCCTTAATAACCTTGCATAAAAAAGGTGAGTCAGCAATAGTGGGTCACTGCCAGTTCCTAGAGTTTGCTAAAACATAAGCATTTTTTAAAAAAAAGTTAAGTGCCAGTTTAAAGGGGTAAAGATCCTCCTTTGAGTTTCACAACTGTCAGTGCCTATAGCACTCTGTGCGAGTGTATTGTTTTATTTTGTGACCAGCAGAGACTGTCTGAGAAGACCAGGCCAAAATTCACTGTTGGTACAGCTTCACACTCAACTCCAGACAGCCTTCAGCTGATTTCCTGTTATCTCCACAAAAACACACACAAAAATAACGAGAAATGGCTAAAGTCATTGGATTATAGGTTATTTGTCTCCCTTTGGGTAGAAGTTTGCAGTCCGACCTTTTATTTCAGCAAAACCATCTAAAAAACCTGAAGAAAGACTTTACTTCTTGGATAAAAAGCATGCTTCGTTAAAAGCTTACACTTCCACAAAATGAATGAAAATATTTCCCTGTATACCTGAATATCCACAGTTGTGAGGTTTTATCACTAAACCATAAGGACACGTATTAACTGTGTCATCACAATTAAAGATGCTTGTCCATTAATGACCTAGAAGTACCCTATTACCTGGGGTTTCTTTTTAAACTATTTACCGATGAAGGGTAACTTAGGGCACAGTCAAATGAGCCCAGACTGGCAGCAGCCAACAAGCAAAAGATTGTTGCTCCCCTGGTCATCCTCCACTGCAGGTTGCCATCCCCTCTGTTCTGCTATTTGTCTGCTCAATTCCCCAACTCTGCTCTTTGAAGTGATCTAAATTTTAAAACGAAAAACTAGCTTAGGAACCAGAGCAGGGGAAGCCACAAAAAAATCTAGAACAATTTCTTCACTTATTTTAGCAGCAACCAAAAAACTTATCTGACTGTTTTCTAAACGGGAATTTGTTGGATTTGCTGTTTACATTAATATTTGAAGGCTTCCTTGGGCAAGCTTACTAGAGAATACACACAGCACACTCAGAGAAGAGTAGAGGGAGCCTGTTTTCAGAAGACGAGGACTGAAGTCAGTAGTTCTTGAAATGCACCATGAAAATGGATGCATTCCCAGCAAGTGACAGCTGCCAAAACGAAAGAACCCTCAATGGGCACGTTTCTTTAGGAAGCCAGAGGAGTTCACAAAGCTAGTAGAGTTTAGTAGTTGGAACTGGCATCTTTTGGGCGCCAGGGTTAAATCCGAGCTGATCCTAAACACTCAAGGGACTCTGTGAGTGTCATCTGTGACACATAAATTTTGCTTTAAAAAAAAAAATGTTGTTTTCTCAGACTGTCTCAACTAAAGCAGACTATTTTTAGAGATGTAAACTTGAGACACTCAAAGAGTTAAACCAACACTAAACCAAAAGCCACTTTGGATTTTTTTCTTCTCCCACAAACTGGAACTGCACCTGAGGCATTTAAAGGACTTGGTAAACCAGAACCAAAATTTACTCTTTCAGCACAACAAACCATCCAAAAAACGAACACCTCCAGTGAAAGCACGACCAGCATGAAAATTGCTCCGCAAACCAGCAAGCAGCAGCTGTTACAGCCCCCCCGTCCCCACCACGCGCAACAAGCCCTCACTTCTCTACCCTAGGATGCTCTGCAGACCAAGCGGTCAAACTTCTCATAGGTATTCAATGTGAGCTAACCAAGCTCTTCCCATTGAGAAAAGGCTCACGTATCCCGTTCTTCCCCAGCAAAGAATTTAATGTTAATCAACTGCCACCAAGCCACATCAACCTGCACTTTCCCCTAGCAATGACACAGGCATATCCCACTTTTGAGACCTACTTCTGGAAGAGTTTGAGAAGACTGATGTATGGGGGTTTCGCAGCAAGCTGCAGCTCCCATGCCATAGCAGTGGCACAGACAGGCTCAGCTGGGACCACATCTCACTGCCCCAGCTTTAAGGAGCTGAAAACAAGCGGCGGTGCAACACAAATAGCACCACAGCTCCAACAGGAATGCTGAAGACTGAAGTCAGAGGTTATACCAACTGAAAGCTGGCATGGCAAAGGATCACAGCACCACACACCCCAAAGGGACTGTTTTCCAACAATAATGCTTTCACCTTACTAGTCAGTCAACTATTACAGGCCGGAATCAGGTAAGTTCAGTCATAACAGATCCTGACCACAAGTCACTCTTTTTTCATTTCCCCAATTTTAACCATTATTCTGCCTCAGACTCACGGTAACACACACTCACTGCTCCTTACAGACAAGTCATATTACACCTTACTACTACGACCCACTAAAGCCTAAGATGCTTGTTCAGCACTCTCCCACAGGCAGTGACTTACAAACACTGACCCCCTATGGGTGTAGTACTTCTATCAATCCCAGAAAAGGCTACAGTCTTTTTGCTCCAAAATAGTACACCTGGAGATCATGAAAAACACATTTATTTGCTAACAGGATAATCACCATGGCAACTAGCTTCCAGGAAAATAACTGCCAACAACTCCAGGACAAAGACAGGCCACTAAGGAATTTGTTAAGGGAGACCAACCAGCTCACACAAATCTGAAAATACTGAAATTTGCCAAATTTATCTCTGAAGAAACCGTAAGTAGGCATCTGAAAACTTCTTATCACAAGCCATCACATAAGTTGAATCAATGGCACTACCATCCGTCTCAGCATCTCGGTGCCCTTTAACTTTCTTTGAAACTTTTTAGACATCTTGTAGGGCGGTTTCAGGGCAACATTCTCCAATGTACACAGTCTCACCTTTCAGACCATTTCTTTATACTAAAAGAAAATTTTATCTGATACTCAAATTCTTTGCCACTCCATACAGTAGTATTCACTTTTAGTCACGTGAGTTTGAATAATAATGAAACTGCAGTTATTGCAAACAACACTTAAATAATGCCTTTCATGAAACAATGTTTTACAAAGGTAGATCAACCCCATCTTACAGAGAAGGACAAAGATTAATACCTTGCTCAGGGATATACAGTCAGGGATACATGGAATCTACGTATTCTTACAGGTTTTCAGAGCTACTGCAGGAATTGTTCCATTTTCATAGCTTTTTGGGGAAATGTGGACTGATTTTAATTGATGGAATTACAGAGACCATAACTTATTTATATACGACTGAAAAAAGGCTGGTTACAGAATCCAAATCCCTGGTACACTATCTAAAACATGCACTAAGATCGTAATGGGCAGCTCAGCAAACCATTTCACTCCTGAAGCGCTGGTGCATTTCTCCAGTTTTCATGAAAGCAGTTCACAGGAAACAAAAATACTTTTCTGCCCGATGCTATTTTAGTATACTACCACAGCCAAATAACAATGCCCAGGTTAGACCGAGGAACATGTTTAAAGTTTCCTGCACTAAGCTCTGCCCACTTGTAATAGAGAAATTTACCACGCTATCACCCCTGGATCCTAGCTCTGCTTGTAGGGGAATGACGGGAGGAATAACTGCAGTACAAATAAGGATCCTCTTCTCAACCACAGCACTTCACTGCCAATTAAAGTTTACGCTAGCATTGCAGACTCAGTCAATTTTGCCTTCCTGTTATAGGAACAACAACATCAGGCTATTAAGCCAGACAGGTATGTACATTAGATCTGTGTCCCTCCAGTATCGTCTCAGACTGGATCACTGGAGCTCATGAATAAAAGCTCTGAAGAAAAGTGTGTCTGCTAAATACATACTGTACAGCAATGTAACATGCTGAATGATTCAGTCAGGTATCTACTTTCAGCACATCAGTTTTTCTTTTGGAAAAAAAAAGAAAAGACTAATGAATAATCAGCCTCTTCTGGAAGACAGAGATGTGTTTGGCTACCTTTCGCTGTAACGCACAATTAATTGATAAGACTGCCACTGCCCTGGAGTGTTAGCATGAACACCTACATCATAGAAAAGATAACCATGTCCAAGTAGTTTACAAAAGGAGAGTCAACAGATGTTATCAGTGCACACTGGCCTCTTCTAAGCCCATACAGAGGAAGTTAGCTGACTTCCTCATTCCAGGTTTAGAATTCAAATGAAAGTACAGCTAAAAGCCTTAAGGTAAAATACAGCTGTGCAAGCTGGTGAATTTCTGTGCTTCTTAAACAGCTAAGGTTCTCCATCTTCTGTTACCTGGGTGGGACAAAGCTGCACAGTCACAAAGCAAAGCCACCCAGCTCTGCTAGACTTGTACGTTACAGGCAGATGGCCCTATGAGACTGCTGCTTTCTGTGAGGAAAGAGACCGCTGCGCTATGACCTGTGCATAGGAAGGCAAGCAAGACCTACTTCTTTTCTAGCCTTCGTTGAAGAATCTTTCCAACTCAAGGCAGGTATCTTCTAACTTCATCTAAATGCTCTATCTAACCTAATAGAGAAACCACCATTGCCTCCCAGGTGCACTTCAACGACTACTTAATGTCTGTCAAATGCTTGGAAGAAGAAAATCTCTACAGACCTTGGTGGCATTTAAGAACTGAATGGGTGAGCAGTGAAGGCTCAGGTCATACAGCACAAGCTCTTCTGAAAAGAATCGTTTGAATATTCCTACACCCGGCTCAAAGTCACCCTCAGCACAATGCCAGCTGGATATTCTGGTGCTCGTACAGTCTCGCTGTGCATATGTATATTCCATTGCTAAAACCATGAATAATGGTGCAGATCAATCTGAACCTAGAAAATGTATGCCCAGAGTTCTCTTCACCCTATAATCAGATGGCCTTTTCGTCCCATTTGTTGTAAGTCATAGTAGGCATACATACCTCAAAATTGCTCAGGCTAGCTCGTCTCTTTGCATAGATATGCTCACAGTTGTAATCCAAATGTCTTCAACAGAGGTCTAATTTTAAAAATACTTAGAAGTATAAATTCCACAGGAAACAGGAAAGTCAGGGGAGGGAAGGAGATACAATTTATCAGCTTCTACATTTGCAGACAGCTGCAGTCAGTAGTGTAGGTCATTTTCAGAGTAAATCTTGGCAACAAAGCTTCTTTGTAGAGGAGAAAGACCTGTCAAAATTAACAAGCATAGTAAGAAACACCATTAACATCTGATAAGCAATGAAACACAGATTCAGAGTCTCCTTCAGAGAAAAGAATTAACTCTTATTTGAAATATTGGGTTTCTGCTAGCTTTAATGTATTTAAAATCAGCAGCAGCCTCTGAAGTTACCTCATATTCTGAGTACTTTAACCTAATACATTATCTCAAGGAGACAAATTCTCTAAGCATTCAGATAATGTTTGATCATAACAGTGTGCCTTGTTTCAGACAAAACTTCCCAGCTCATTAAATGCCTTGGTGTTCACTGCACATTTTGACACAGGAATGCTTGTGTGACCAGTGTCAGATTAAAGACTTATGCTGCTGTCCAAAACAAGGACCAACACAGAGTGATGGAAGTCCAGCACAGCATGGATATAAGGTACATACGAGGGGAGCTCCTTCACAGCATAAACATTTAGGAGTGTTAGCGTACTTCTGAACTTGTCTAATTTGGATTTAAGTTAATAAAATGTAAACTCTTCGGGGCAGGGAGGTTCTATTCTGTGTTTGCATTTTACACAGTATGGCAGATCTAGGTTCCAAATCAAAGCTGTTCAATGTTATTGTGATACAAGTTTTTTACTTTTGGTACAACAGCAGGATTCTTCTTTACAAATAAAAAAAGGTCAGCTAGTCTTGCGTTATCGTAAAATGCTTCTGAAAGTATGAAGAGATTTCATTTTGAAAAAAATACATTTAACTCCATACAATCGCTTGTTTCCTCCTTCTTTCCTTTTTCTTCTGTGACCATTTTAACACGCTTGGCCAGAGGAACAATTTTAAGAATTTGGAGCTTATATTCAAGCTTAAAGAATCAGCTCACGGTGCTGTGACAACACCCAGCGTCTCGACTGTTTAGGGGTTTTAGAATTTTAATTTAAGTATTTAAATCATAGCAGGCTACCCACTTTCTAGCAGCGCTGACAAATCACGTCTAGCCTGCCACCTTCCCATTGCACTTCATTCACATATCTTTTTCCGAAGATGCTGGTTTATCCACTATTAAACATTGTGCCAAGTGCACAGAATCACAGATTGGTTGAGGTCGGAAGGGACCTCTGGAGGTCATCTAGTCCAACCCCCCTGCTCAAGCAGGGCCACCTAGAGCTGGTTAAACCACTTTAACAAGTCTCACTGTTAATACTGAAATACCACCCTCTCTCTCGCCCTGGAGAGTTAACATGAGTCCCCTATTAGTTCTAAAGAAACGCATATGCTCATCAAGAGGGTACTATCTTCTCCCTAAGTACCATTTTGTTAAGCAATATCCACGCACACTGCATTAATCAGCTTTCACAATGCCTTAGAGGACAGACATAAGGGAGAACCACTAGCCATATTTCAGAGGTGAGGAGACTTCAAGTCCATCAAGGGGAAGCCACTCAGCCAGCTCGCCTGAGCAACAGCTTAAACTCAGTGATTCCAGTTCCCAAAGCCCAGCTTTCATTAGAAGACAACAGCTATGAAACTGGCTGAGAACACACCACGTTGGGAAGACACACTGGAGAAGTGAGTGGGGAGAGAAGACTCCTCCCCCAGACCTCTAAGCAAAAATTCCTAGAAACCCAGCCCAAGATATTATCACACCAATTATTTTTGAATGGTTCAAAAACAATTCTCTGAAAGACCAGACAAGATACTAATACAAGGCTTGCCTAACTCCAGTGCAAGCCATAGCAGCCTGCTCAATGCAAATGCCAGCAGCTTACAGACAGACACCAAACCATTCACCGGACTAGAACAGGAGCTGACTTGCTAGATATAACCCATTTCCTAAAGAAAGTGCCTCTTTAAACACACAGAAAAAAACTGTAGTCTTTCAATGATTTCTATTTTGTATCTGAATTAGATGCAGCTTTTAATTACTGGATCTTTAGCTATGATTAAATAAGATGTGAGAGAGCCCAAACCATGCCAGAGAGCTGCTTAAAAAAAACAACCCAGCAACTTTTATGTGGTACATGGAGGGGGGAAGCCCAAGCTTTTTAATGGCAAAAAACTTTTTTTTTTTTAATGGCATGAAAGCCTGAAGTCCCAATTTATATCTAACACAAAATCTACACCAAGTAGATCTTGCTCTGTCTTCAGTTTGCTTCCATATATTGAATGACTTCCAGATTGGTTGAGTGGGTTTCTCAGGCAGCTGAACTGGACACAGTGGATACAAAGCTCCAGTAAACTTGTCCATTTGGCACAGGAACCCTGTGAGGCTGTGGAGGTCACTGAGCAGTGCAAGTCCTGCAAGCCGGGGGGGGGGGGGGGGGGGGGAGAAGCCCACTGTCCCCACACAAGAGAGGGGAGAGGGTCCCCCAGCGCTGAGAGAGGAACAATGCTCCCAGCTAGCACACCTGGCTTTCCTCACCTCCAGACACTTCCAGATGGAAAAATAATCTACCCTGCGAGAAGCATCATCCTGTTGACTAAACACGAAGCTATCCGCAACATATTAATCCTGCTTAAGACAGGAGCAGCAATGAGCAGCATGGGCAGCGCCACTTGCTCCCCAAACTCAGGAGGACCCTCCTGCACTGGCTCAGGTTCAGGGCATTACTACTTCAGATGTGTGTTACTAAGGGCTTCCACCCTGCAGAACATTTGATTTTAAGGTTTGTGGCTGACAGACACCGTTTCTGATGCAGTGGTAGTTATGTTACTCTACTCCTCCACTGAGATCTTTATACCTTCAGTTCATACCTCTACACCTTCTGCCCACCAAGAAGCCTCCTTAAGTTTCCTCACTGATAGAATCTTGTAGCAAAAGTGATGCCTCAACCCACTATATGTGCTTTGTTGGCCACAGTATTTGTTACTAACGCGCACTAGGTATTTCTGGTATCATCGATAGCAGCTGTACACGCAAGTTAAGCTGACAGGTAGTTTTGGTTCTAAGCCTCATGACGGTTGGTCCTTGTAAAGCTCAGAAGGCACCGCTTTACATCTGAAGCCCTCTACTGTAAAGGCCTGTCTCTGAAAACTCGTTTTTAGAACAGCAGAATTTGAGCTCACTTACATGTCAGCACAATGAAACAATCAGTATCTTCATAATCTCATAAAAAAGACAGCTAAAGCGGGGAGGAACAGGTGAAGAATACACCCAAACTTCAGCTATCTTCAAAATCAGCAAGGTCAGACGCAGCCGACCCCTCCAAAACAAAGAACCCACGCACCGGCAGCGCCTTCGCAGACATTTCTGCACGCACGTACCGGGCCCCGCTGCCTCCCCGGCGGCTGCGAAGGCTTCACGCCTTCCACC